CCCACAGGACCTGAAAACAAAGCTAAAATGTTGCTCTCTTTATCTCTCAGCACCCCTCCTATCCCAAAGGGCCTGGGTTTCCTTGGCTGCTACCATCAAAATTCAGCTTTGCCCAAACTTCAGGTGGAGGCTTCCACACTGCAGCTGCCTTGTGCCTCCTCGTATGACTAGTGGCTACCGCCTTCCAGTTACTCCAAATGTCATCAAAGGAAAAGGTATGAAAGAAGTCCATAGCTCTTAGCCAATGAATGGCTCTAGTCAGAATACAATCCTCAACAGTTTGTATGTTTCTTTCCTTTTCTTTGAACACCCTAGCATTCCTTTCTTCCCATATTGTCCACAAGGCTACTGCTCTAATACATCTCCACATCATTTTTCCTTTTTTTGTAAGCCACACAAAAAAAGAAGGATCGAACAGTTGACTTAATTCTGTGGACAGATTCCACCTACACCCAAACAAAGAAAAAATCAAACTCCAAATAGCACTAGAAAAGGAACAATATACAAATAGGTGGGAGCAATCCTCACCACTAGCCCTGTAAAGTACACACCAGTTAGGAGACAAGCACATGAAAGGCCTTTTCTTCTGCAAGCAGTCCAGAATATTGATCTTTCTATAAAACACCTCCCAGCAGAAAATTATAATTTTAGGAGGAACAGGTCTAAACCAAATCTCCTTAGATGGAAAACCCAATTGTCCCATGGAGGAGCAAAGGGACTTAAAAAATGAAGCACAAGTGAAAAAACCTTTTGGATGAGGGGACCATAGTCTCACATCCGAACGAAGAGGTTCCAGAAAAACACTGCCAAGAAGAGACAACAATTCTGAAGCACTACTAAGTTCAACATCGCTCAAACCTCTCCTAAAACCAAAGTCCCAGCTTAAGGAAGAGGGTGAAGTAATAGATGGAAGAAAATGAGACACAGCTTTTTCCTTGTAAAGGGAAAGAGAATAGAGAGCCGGGAATCCGTCCTTAAGGGCAACAGTACCCACCCAAGTATCTTCCCAAAATAAAACAGAGTCACCAGAATTAACATCATACCTGACCAAGTTGAGAAACTGAGGGAGGACACTCTGAATTGCTTCCCAAGGAGATGCCAATGTAGCTTGACGTGATACACCCACATCCCATCCATTTTCCTGTCTATCATGTATACTAGATGCCACAATCTCTCCCTTTCTCTAGGCCACCTCCACAACCACTTCCCTAAGAGAGCTTTATTCCTTAGAGCTAACCTTCCTAATCCTAGTCCACCCTCATCTTTACTCCTACAAACTATTTCCCAATTGATTCAATGATCTTTCTTTTCCTCCCGAGGCTCCCACAGAAAAGATCTCATTATCCTCTCCAACTTCTTAGCTTCCTTAATAGGAATCCTAAAGATAGAGAGAAAATAGACCAGTAGGTTTGCTAGGGTAGCTCTCAATAAAGTCACTCTACCCCCTATGGAAATGTAGTTCTTTTTCCAAGAAGCTAATCTTTTCTCAAACTTTTCCAAAATTGGGGTCCAAAATCTACTCTCCTTTGGATTAGCCCCTAGAGAGAAACCTAGATACTGCAAAGGCCAAGAAGAAATGGGACAACCTAAACAATTTGCCACAGACTAAAGAGTCCTCTCATTCAAATTAACCCCTACCACACAACTCTTATCCAAGTTTATCTTCAAATTGGAGACATTCTCAAAGTGTTGTAACAATGCTTTGGGATTCCTCACTTCCCGCTTATCACCCCCTTCACAAAATATTATGATATCATCGGCAAATTGCAGGTGGGTTACCCGGACAATGTTCCTTCCAATCCTCCAACCTCTAACTTCCTCTCCCCTATCTGCTTTAGAGATTAATCTACTAAAGACATCTGCAACTAGGGTGAAAAGAAAAGGGGAGAGAGGGTTGCCTTGTCTAAGGCCTCTACAAGCTGGGAAAAAATCTTTCACCACCCCATTAACCAAGACGGAGTAGTGGCAGGAGCTAATACAGCCCTTTACCCAATTACACCATCTAGCTCCAAACCCACAGCACCCTAGGACCTCTAGCAAAAAACTCCAATCCACAAGATCATAAGCCTTCTCCAAGTCTATCTTACATAAAAAACCTTGAGTTCCAGACTTTCTCATGTCCTCCACACACTCATTTGCTATTAGGATCTGATCCGTTATTTGCCTTCCCTACACGAAAGCACCTTGTTCTTGGCTGATGATGGAGGGTAGTAATACTCGAATTCTCAATGACAACACTTTAGCCAGGATTTTATAGATGCTTGTCACTAGACTGATTGGCCTATAGTCCTTAGGGTTCTTTGCATCTGCCTTTTTTGGGATTAGGGCTAAGAAAGTAGCATTGACTCCAGGGCTCACCGTTTTTTTACCTGCAAATTCCTGAAACACCCCAACAAGGTCTTCTTTGACCGCATCCCAACAATCTTAATAAAAAGCCATTGTAAAGCCATCTTGACCATGTGCTTTGGATCTATCCATTGAAAACACCGCCTATCTTATCTCTTCTTTACTAAAGTCTCTTTCTAACCAGTTTGCTTGTTCTTCAGAGAATCTAGTCCACTCCAAGTCTTCCAAGGTTGGCCTATTATTCAACAGTTTCCTGTAAATTTATTTGAAATTATCCACAAAACATTTGGCTATCTCATCTTGATTTGCGATTTCCTCCCCATTTACCTCTAACTTAGCCACAAAATTTTTTCTTCTCCTCCCATTAGCCAATGCATGGAAAAATTTAGTATTCCCATCCCCTTCCTTAATCCATTTGTGTCTCGACTTTTGCCTCCACGAGATTTCCTCTCTCTTTAGGTTTCCTCTCAAAACCTGCTCTTGCTCACTCATCATCCTTTGAGCTTCTTTGGAATCAAGTTCCTCAATCCTGGACATCAAGTTAATTTTTTGCTCCTCTATCCTTCCAAAGTGTTCCCCATTCCACTACTTAATTTTGGACCTCAATCTTTTCAATTTTTTATGGAATCTTACTCCCTTCCAATTCACCCCTCTTAAGTCTTCTCTCCACCATTCCCCAATCAAGTGCACAAAATCCAGGTGAGTTAGCCACATATTCTCAAGTCTAAAAGGCCGAGGACCAAAAGTTAAGGTTTCAGGACTTAGTTGGATAGGGCAGTGATCAGAGGTAACTCTAGGTATGGCTCTAGCCATCAAGTTCGTCCAATGGTTCTCCCACTCTTCAGTAAAGAGGAATCAGTCTAATTTCGAGCCAAGAGGGTTTTCTTGGAAATTAGACCATGTAAAATTGGCTTGTAAGAGGGGTAACTCCTTTAGACCACAATTATTAATAAAATCATTGAACTTCCTCATGCTGGTTGTAATTGTCCTTTGGGGATTATTAGATTCGGTACAAAACCTAATTACATTAAAGTCCCCCCCCAAGACACCAAGGACCCTCCCACAAACCTCGTATGGCATACAATTCTTCCCACATCTCATTCCTCTCTCTATACGAGTTTGGTCCATAGACATTGGTAAAACCCAGGTGAAGCCATCCTCCACATTCCTAACCTTTAAAGACATAAAAAGTCTTCCTATTAGCTCCTCCACTAATTCTACAGCATCCTCCCTCCATAAAGTTACTAGACCTCCAGAGGCTCCATAGGACAGAGCCGAAGTCCAACAAACTCCTCTTGATCTCCATACACTTCTGATCCATCTTCTATCCAACTCTGCCAGCTTGATTTCCTGCATCAAAACTATGTCAAATTTCTCTCTCCTTAATAAATCTTTAATTGCCCTTCTCTTTCTTTCACTTCCCAAGCCTCTCACATTCCAACTAATGATCTTCATTAAACACTTCTTTCAAAAAAACCCTTTCTCAAAGACTCCACCTTACAGCAGAGTCTTTCTTCTTTCCCCTCTCCCACTAAATTCAATATCACCCTCAATATCTGAAGTCGATCTCTATTCAGATCTCTTTTTCTTTTTTCTTCTATTATTACCCTCAATCTTCCTCATTAAGGCACTAGCTTCATTAACCTCTCCCCCCAGATTGGAGCTTCTCTTTCCCTTTCCTTTTTCTTTTCTTTCCTTTTCTCTTTTTTTCTTCTCTTTCTTTTTCTTTCCCTTCCCTTTCTTTTCCTTTCCTTTCCTTTCTTTTTTTTTCTTTTTTATTTTTTTTCTGTCTTTTTATATAAGATGTGCATGAGGCGTATGAAGCGTACGCCTCTAGCACGCCTCATGAAAAAAGCGCAAGAGGCATACACCTTAGAGCGTTTTGGGAGCGCCTCGCCTGGACACGCCTCCAGGCGTACGCCTCCCACGCCTTTTAAAACACTGGTTAAGAGGACAAGAACAGGCCGTCAGGCCCTAAGAAACTGCTCAACTTAGAGCAAATTGCACTAGTGTGAAGATTGGACCAAGTAAATCTAGATTGCCCCGATAGGATGCCTCTCAAGTCAAAGGTATCAATAAAATCATGAATTTCCTCATGCTGGTTGTTACTCTCCGGCTCTCCACCTAGTATTATTCAATTCTTCTGCAAATCTTACCACATTAAAATCACCACCAACAAACCATGTCCCTTACCATAAACCCCTAATATTTGCCAACTCTTCCCACATCAAGTTTCTTTCTCTATAAGAATTGGATCCATAGACATTTGTTAAAACCCACTCAAACCCATCCTAAACATTTTTTAGTTTAACTAACACGGTGAAGTTCCAAGTTATTATTCCCCCAGAGGCACCCCAAGAAGGAAGGAAGCTCCAACTTATTTCTCTTTCACTGCAAAAGCTTCTAACCCACCTCATGCATTTTAGACTCTTTGACTAGAAGAATATCTGGTCCTTTCTAAGACAGTCTATGTTTTGGGCTCAGATGTAATTCTTGGGGTTTAGACACAGGGCGTCTATTTTTATCCTTCACAACTTCTAGTTGTGCTTCATTATTTTCCTTAATGAATTCATTTTCTGAGTTGCTGATTAAAAAAACAAAAAGAAAAACACATGGATTTAGCATCCAGGAAATGGATTAAAGAAAATCAATACCATATAAGATACGTGGGAGGATCTCCAATGATGTGGCAAGAGGCAACATCCTCTGTCAGGGGAGCATAGTGATGTGCAGCAGCAGAATCAGCAGTTGTCCATGCTGAAGGAACAGAAATTTCAATCCACTTCACAGCATCACTGCCAACAACAGGAACCTCCATTCCCCCTAAAGACTGGTTGGTCATATCTGGAGAAGGAATATGCTGGCACTTCTGAAGCAACAAAGAGAAGAAATGCAAGTGGTAACCTGCATTTGATACAAGAAAAGAATAAAAAAAGGAAAAAATTAGTATTATTATCCCGTACAGCTAAACATGGGAATATTATTTAAAACATATGAACAAAATCATAAAAAAAATACTAATACAGCTAAACATGGGGTAAGGCTGTGTACATCAGTCCCTCTCCAGACCCCACATTGGTGGGACCCTCTTGCACAGGGCTGCCCTTATTTATCTCATTCAGCTAAACACAGGRATACTAGTTAAAACATGTGAAAAGTTCATAAAGAAATACTAATAATACAGTACACGAATTAATGACCCTTCAAGCTAAGAGTGCAATTTCGGTTGGCTCAAGTTGAGAATTCTAGTGTATTCAGATCTCAATGTAGAAGTACCTGGCTGGAGCAGCTACTTTATATCTTACATGGAGCATATTACTAGATACTCTATTCCAAATCACRGAAGCAGTCATTAGTCATTAATAAGAAACACTCCAATATCCATATCTATATTTAGTTTAGTCAGTTGAAGGTCTTTATTGATATTTGAATGGGTCTGGCCCAAAATCCCAGGCACAATGCAGTGTAAATTCTTCAAAGCGGGTAAACACTAAAAATATGAAAATAAAAACACACAAAAAGGACTTCAATATCCACTCCACGTTATAAAAAATTATAAAAAAAAAAAGCTAGCCCTCCTAGCACTCATTGCATGAATACAATAAGAAATATTAAAAAGATATTAAAAAAACAAGAAGCAATAAGAAGTAAAAAAATAACACTTAATAGGCTGCTGACCTATAGGATGGTTAAGCATACTCCACCTTCTGCCATGTAAACAATATTCTTTTCACAAAATTAATAAAAAAAGTAAAGATCTTTCTTTTTGATAGCTTAGTATAATTTTTTTTTAATATTATCAAAAATACATACAAAATTACAAGCACTTCTTGGATAGGGTAAAGATTACTACCACCCCCAAGTATACAAGCTAGAGATTATAGTTGAGCACAATACAAATGATCCCTACTAACCCCCGTTAGGAAAATGCATCAGCCAGCCCATTTGCCGACCTCTGCACTCATGTATTTTTTATATGCATGCTCCTTATCAGTCATTTGATTTATCACATTTCAACATAAAACTGAAGCATCAGTTATATAAGTAACCAAGTATAATTAAACATCAGTAGATCACTTGCAATTCACAATTCACAATTGACAACTCACAACTCACATAAATTGCATGACATTAACACATATTACAGTCTTATCTCATATTCAAATGAATTTAAACAATAGAAGCAATCAAAATAAGTAACAAAAAATTAAAACAATTAACAGCAAGCAATTTTTACAATTTTATACGTACTAAATAAATACTAACAATCAACTTTATTATTTAATACGTGCAACTAAATAGCTGAGGACGTAAATAACAGATTTTGCTAAAAAATAAATGCAAGAATAGGGCTGCTGATTTGCAAGAAGTAGCAAAAGAGGGCCAAAGCCCTGATTTCCTGTTCATAACAGGAAGAATATATGAAGACTCTGTTGCACATCTTCAACAAAAGAAGAAGAAAAGGAGGTCAAAACCCCTGTTTGTCGTCTTAAGAAGAAGAAGAAGAGAATGAGGAGGAAGGAAGATACAAAGAAAAGGGCAGCCAAGGCCGTGCAGAACAAACCGAAAAAGAAAAGAAAAAAAAAAAAAAAAAGCCATACCTGCTGGAAACCCTAAAAGCAAAATCCAGAGCAGAAGAACTCAGAACTCCGAATGCACTTCATTTTGGAGGTATTTAGGCACCCAAACAAAAACCAGGGAAGAAGCAGATGGTGATACCTTGAAGCAGGAAATGGAGAGGGTGCTATTGGATGGGAAATACCTTTCCTTGAAAAAAAAAAAACTCCTTAAAAGAGTAGAAAATGAGTGTGGTCTTGGGTTGAACCGTGATGCCCGTGACGACTAATTGAGCCGCCACAGTGAAGCGGCGATGATTGAACGGAATTAATATCTGCTCCCCACAGCATATCCCAACCGTGTATTGGGAACATCTCGGTTGAATGTGCATGCTTCAGATCACTTGGGATAGGGCTGTCAATTGGACTGGATTTGGTCCAGTCCAACATTGGTCCATTTACAAATGGACTGGACCAAATCCGGTCCAAACCCCATACAAACCGGATCCAGTCCAGTCCAATTGAAATGCAAATGAACCGGATTGGATCCAACCCAGTCCAAATTAAATGTTTTCCTCAAAAAATGTTTTCCCTACTTAAAAAGTCAACAATAAAAGGATATGATCTCATTTCACAGAAGCAGTTTACTGCGTCATCTGATTTGAAAGCAATCGGCAAAGAGCAAGTGTCTGAATTGGACCGGGCCACTTACATGTGAAAGTAGTTGGGTCAAATTTTAAGGTTCTGTTTGCTGGGTCGGTTCAGTTGTGGGTCACTACCATTAACGTCACTTGTGACTTGTGGTCTTCTGCAACACTTACACCAGAAGGACGACTCTTTCCCATTTCAGTCAGCCATGCTTTTTTGACTTTAGGACTTCATATTGACCGACTCGTTCACATTTTACGACCAGATAAGTGGTGCAGCATGGATGCATAAAGGTTGGTTCTTGGAACATTCTCAGTAAACCTGGTCCGGTCAGTTGAATAGCCCAAGTTTCTGGACCATATGTTACTTACCCAGATGAATCAGGAATCTTGCATCCATTTGTTTGACCATCTCTGTCGGGTGTGTTAATAGGTAAACATGGTTTGAATGTCTGGTCAGACCTGCTTAGCCCAGAATACTCAGACAAGTATGTAAGCTAGAAATAGGATGGTTGGAATCAGGGGTGTTCATCAAAAACCAAAAAACGAAATTGGATGATTGGAAGAAGACAGTAGGAGCTGGAGCTGACTCTATTCCATCCACAGATGGTTTGATAACTGTAATGAAGAATATATTGTAAAAAATGGTGAAGATGAGAAGAACAAAAGATGAATATGCAAGATAAGAACCAGAGCAAACTCTACCAGAGCATTGGATTTCTGATCTCTAATGAAAATTTCATTAAAATATAAAATAAAGAGAGATTACAAGGCTTGGTGTTACCCCATACTGAGAAAAAGATAACACAAGGTTTAACAAATTCTACCCCACAAATCCAATTGGGAAAACACAAAATAAGCTAACAGAACTTAACTACATGAAAATGCAAACCAAGAAATCCCATTTCAGTTACTAGAAACACCCACCATCTCTTTTTAACAAGAAATGTCCTCAATGATTTGAACACCTCTGTTTTACCTGAACTGATTCCACTTCCTAACTAACCTCTCTCAATCAAAATGCCCCCAAATCTCTTATGAAGAACCAAACCTTGTAAACTGTTTTACCTGGTGTTTGCTTCAAAAGCTGTGCTCTTTCCCAGGATCCCCCCCCCGGCCCCATAGAATTGGAAGCTAGGATCAGGCTTATCTCCTAAGTCACAATTTTATTTATTATTTTCAGTAATCCTTAGCTCACAATTGGTTAGAAGAAAGTTAAAAATCATATCCCATCCTTCTTTCACTTGCAAATGTTATTTGAACAACAGATTACAATATTTTAGAGTGAAACTTTGCTACTTGTAGCAACATCCGATCAAGCAAGGTCCTCTTCACCTGAAAAAATATCCCAGACCAGGCCAAATGTATATTGCTTGTACAACAACTAAAACCCAAAATTACTTCAAATAAATAAAACTAGTGACTGTAATGTCACGCCCACAGACTATACTTTAATTGTGTATTCAATTCACAAGCTTTCAATTAGTCAAATTACCTGAACTGAAACGAACTCAGAACAGAGAGTGCATGTCACAGGGAAAAAAAAGATTAAGAGAACTTCAAGAAGAACAAAAGCTTGAGGGGAAATATGTGCTTGAAGAAGAACTTTAAGAAACTTGATGCTTAGATATGATTAGCATTGTCGTATCAGGTAGAAAGGGATTAGGACAAGCTTGTTGCATGGCTACTTAAATTAGCACAGTTGATAAAACTTAGGAGCAGTAGATAGGAAAATGTCATAACTATCTATATTCTATAGTCAACAAGATAGTAATGTCCTTGATCAAAATGATAACTAAATTTCGATATTATTCTTTATGTATAAATTGAGCATATAGGGAGCTTCAAACCATCGCCAGCATTAGATGGATTTAAATGAAACACAGAACACAGCACATATGGAAGGGTGTGACTATTTTCAAAAGAAAAGTGACACCATCTTGTACTTCTAAGTTCTAACCTTAGGCTCTAGTGAAAGAAGTTTCTATTACAATGCAGAAGACAATTTGCAGTTGTATATTTAAGTTCCAAATTCCATAAGAAACTAAAAGTTGCTACTGGCATGTTTTTGTCAAGGTTGAATAGATTTTCCAATTACATGTCAGTAGCTGCAAATGCGTGGGTATTTTTTTTTAATTATTATGTACGTGGATAATGTTACAAAACAATACAAAATAGAAAAAAAATATATTGGACTTGTTCAATCCAATCCATTGACTTATTGGACTGTTCAATATGTTCAACCTGGACCGGATTGGACTGGTCCAATCCAATCCACTGTCCTATTGGACTTTCCAACTTGTTCAATTTGGTTTTAATTCAGATTGTGTCCAACTCAAACCTGGTCCATTGACAGCCTCACATCCCCACTCTTATATTCTACCAATAGACTAGATATTGGTTCAAAACTTCAACCCAACCTAGACCACTATAAACCATTACAAATGGACTAGGTCCAATCCAATCCAATCCAAATTTTATAAGCAAATATTTAATAAAAAAATATAAGAAAATTTTAAAAACCAATAGCATTGTTGTGAAAAATTCTTAGTTTTATATTTTATATTTTATAAAAATTAAATATTTTATATTTTATAAAAAATAAAATATTTTATATTTTATAAAAAATTTATAATCTCAGTTTATAAAATATTTTAAATTTATAGAAATTTTAAAACCAACCCAATCCAAATTTTATATTTTATAAAAAATATAATCTCATTTTCAAAATTCTTAGTTTACCATTGTTGTGAAAACCAATAGCAATAACAACCCCTTGCCCATTGTCGGGATCAGCTTACTAATTTGATAAATAGAATTTAAAAAACATTCCCTCTATAGTTTTACTTTGAAAAACAAAATGATAGTATGATTTCAAACTTAAACATATTCAAATCATAATGGTTAATCACTCAATTACACAAAAAAAGAGAAAAAATAAATTATTTCAAATGTAGAAGATAAAAATCCAAGCTATATTTCTAAAACATAAATGAAAGAGAGAATGGTGATTTCTGTGCTAGGTTCTAATGACAGAGGATAGATGAAATACCTAAATGAACAAATCGCAGAGGTCAGAGGAGAGGCTGTCGCCGCTGAAAAGGGAGTGCTGTGACTGCTGTCGCTGCTGAGGAAAGTGAGAGGGCGCTGAGAGAAGAGAGAGTGTTGTACTGCTCGCTAGAGAAAGTGAGAGGCGCTGAGAGAAGGAGTGCTGTCGTTGGAGAAAGTGAGAGGGCGAGAGGAAGATCGCCGGAGAGAGGGATATACCGCCGGCGAGACTTTGAGATGGAGCGCCGAACCCTAGACTTTGAGAAAGTGAAACGTCCGTTCAAACTTCAAACGAAAATTAACGGACCAGTGGGCTGTTCGAACTTTTGGGGTTTGTCCATTTTCGATCCATTTTATGAATGGACGATTTGTGTTCGGACGGTCCGAGTTCATATCAATTTTAGGATCCAAATCCGTCCATAATACTTTCGATATCGACGGAATCCAACCCGAAACCCGTCCATTGACACCCTTACTTGGGATCTACTACCCCACAAGTTGTTCCCACGTCCTAAGCATTAGGGTGGCAACGAGCCGGCCTTTTCACGAGCTATTCAAATTTGATTTGTGAAAAATTCGGTTTGACTCGATTTCAGCTGAGCTCGAGCCTAATAGAACTCAGCTCGTGAGGCTCGCAAACCAGTTCGAATATATATATATATAATAAAAATATTATAATTCTTAATTTTTTTAAATATAAAATAAAAAATTATATATAATTTTTATTTTTATAAAATATAAAACGAGCTGAACTCGAGCTTTTGAACTCTTGACTTGAGCTGAGCTCGAGCTCAAGGTTTTGGCTCGAACCGAGGTCGAGCTCGAGCCATGTAGAATAGTCTCGAGCCGAGCTCGAGCCTAATACTATTTGGCTCGGCTTGGCTCGAATCCACCCCTAAGCACTACTATCCTATATTAGGAACGTCTCCCCATGAATGACAACGGAGTCTCAATGCACATTTGTAATTTCTCATAGGTCTCTAGATGTGGCCATGTGGGAATTAGTTTGCATCCGCCCCTCACAAAATGCACCCCCAAAAAACGCCCCACATGCATATCTCAACGTGCATTGAGGACATCTCCCGCATTTGTCATTGGGAGATGTTCCCAATACATGGTTGAGATGTTCTATGGGACGTTTTTGGGGTGCTTTTTTGTGTGGGGGCAGATGCAAATTCTGTGGGAACTACTGATAGGTAGCAGATCTAAGCATGTTCTGGATAAGCTAATCGGAGTAGCTTCACTCAAATGTGGGTCCATTTGATTTGCAGACAATACCAGAATCAAAATCCCCTAGAATTGGAACGGAATCAAGTTACGATCTCTTTGTCCCACATTAGTAGTATGGGAGGCCTACGTGAGATGTCTCGGTAGTATGGGATGCTGCTATGTGATATATATGGGCTTGGGTTCCCACCCTCTAACAGCTAGGTTTCAGCTTTTAGGGTGAGTTCTCCCAAGTCATATATCAAATCATCTATTCCTAATGCCTACTTGGTTTAATCAGAAATTGGAATCGGATTTTGATTGTTGCTATTTGGTTCTTGCGAGCTGGAATTGGAATCAATTAAAAATTTTCAATTTTATATTAGTCTATTTATTATTTTATTATTACTTTATTAATATATTATGAATATATAATTACTATTTTATTAGTGTTTTGTTATTATTATTTAATAATTAATATCTTAGTATTTATCATTAATTTATGAAATAAATTATTTTGATTTATTTTATTATTACATTAAAAATATTTCATTACTATCTATGCACGCATTTAATGTGAACAGTCAATCAAGTTTGAACTTCGGTCAAATCCACCTGTCCCACTTCATGAACTTCTCATGCTAAGGTAGCACTCTTAGCCCGAGGAGTGGGGGGAAATTGATGGAGGATGATTTGACCCGATCCCTTGAGACAATGACACGTGGACCTGACTCAGCACGAGCAATAGTGTTGGACAGTTTTTTATGCCCTTAGCTTAAATCATAATGATGTACTTTATGAGTTTATTGTAAATGAATAAAAGTGCATATTTGATTCATGTTCCCTTGGTATGTTTCTGTGAAATAACCTTAAACTAGACACCTAATGAGACTCGTGTTAGTTTAGAAATGTTCACAGCCAGTGGGTCGGTCTGGGGAGACCTATCCTGAYAAGGYTRACACTRTKGTGCCACCAARTCGGTTGGGGTGGCCTATCTCAGCTGCCAGGGTGAGACCCTAGGCACATACAGTGTAGGATTAATTGAATCTTTGAACTGGACCAGATTTCCAGTATTGCCCTG